TTCTAGAGAATTTGTCTTGAAAGATGAAGAAGCTGATGTTTTAGGGATTGGCAGCATATAAAAACAGAATTTTAATACCCACTTTCTTATTCAAAGCATAGAGTCCATAGATAAAATTATCATTTCTGCTATGTATCTAAAATATCTTTTCAGTCATCTCTAAACTTGCAAAAAGATAAGAAATCCCTTTGTGTATATTGAATTGATATCTACATTTACATATAAAGAGATTTTTTAAAGACTCTATTATTTGTTTTCTTAAAGTGAGGGTAGTAAAATCCACAATGATGTGATAAATATATCTTTATTCCTAAATCTGTCTTCATATTGGGCACTGAGGAATAGTTACCTTCAGACTATTTCCTTCTCCCTGCCCTTTTTGATTTGGTTTCTGCTTTTCAATTAAGGAATAGCAAAATAACGTTATTTGCATACATATGGGAATTAGAGAAACTTCAATCAAGGAGTCTGAATGAAAAATAAGATCCTTAAATAACAACACAGACATGTATGTATATACCAGTAGTAATGATGAAATTATTTGGGGGAAAGAAGGATACATTCTCTTACATGATTTTCTCTTTGGCAAGTTATTCACTTATTTAAGAAGTGGAAAGTAGCTGAAAGGTGGGAAGCCCTATGGCTAGAGCATAGTCGTAAGTGTTAGATAAAGTGGCAGCAGACTGCCATCAGGCCAATTCTGACTCAAGTCAATATTGATCCTATAGGACAGCATGGAACTGTCCCTGTGGGTTTCCCAGCTACAGCTTTGTACGTGAGTAGAAAGCCTCATCTTTCCTCCTGCATAATGGCCCGTGATTTTGACCAACTCACTTTACAGTGAGCAGCCACACTTGTAACCCACTGTGCCACCAGGACTCTATGGCCTTCTGTGCTAAAGGGCTTGGGGAGTCATTGAAAAGGATTTAGAGGGGGAATTTAGAAGGCTTTGTGGAGAGTAAATGGTTATGAGTGGATCTGAGGATCATTTAAGAAGCTACTACAATTACGTAAAGGAGTGGTGATGTATAATTTGTGATATATAATTTGGGCTAAAATGTGGTAGAACTAGAAATTATTAGCCATTTATTCAAATTAGACTGCATTTCTAAAACAAGAACTGAGTAACAATTCTTTAAAACATCTGTCATTCCAGTGTTAAAAAACCTTCTAATTATTAGCTTGAAAATTAAAATCTATAGTAAGCTCCTTATTACTAATTAGCAAATATTAATATCTTTACATTGTTCTTCAGTAGTGTGGTAGTTACATAATCTGTTGTCAGTTTGAGACTTTATGAATGAAGGGGTGGAGTTTTGCCTCTCAATCAGGCCACAGCTTGATGACCTCATTTGGAGGCACTAAGGAGATAAATAGCTCGTTGAAGGTGGGACACATGTTCACTCCCTGGGAGACATTGCAGCTGACAAGACACATGGAGCTACATTAGTGCCCTGAGCTGGAGGAGCCACGTGGAGATCCCTGCCAGCTCTGAGATGCTTACAATGCCACTGGATCCACAAGACTTCCCACCCACTGGCATGTGATCTTCCTGCATTCAGCATCATTGTATGTATTTCGTGAGTCTGAAGAGGACTTTAGATTGTGATTGGATATATGGACCAATATCGGACTTAGAGACTTTATCTGCACTGGGATGGGATGTTTTCTTATTGTACAATTACTCTTTATATAAAGCTCTTTCTTATACAAATGAGTCTCTCTGTATTTGTTTCTCTAGTCTACCTGAACTAACACAAGTAGCTAGTGTTAATTCATTTTTGAATCTGTAAGTAACAAATTGACACCTTTGTCTACTTCTTAGAGCAGGCCTAGCCAAAACACACACACACACACACACACACACACACACATATACATATATATAATTATTTTAATGTATAATATAAATAATATTATAAGTATATATAATAATGTATAATTGAAACACTAAATTATATTTAGGTGAATACATTATTTATAACTTAGTATTATAAAGTCTAATAGATTTGATTACCAAACAAATTTTTATTTTATAGACTGTCACAATAATTTTCATCTAAGGAAGCTTAATGCTATACATATTTTGTTTACTTTTTCAAATTACAAATCACTGCACACATGAATTTACAGAGATGTGCACACCCACACAAGTATTTACTCTTTAATATTACTTGGGAATAGTAGCCCTGATGATTTGGGCACAGCAAGTGTGAATGACCATTTGTTAAATAAAGCTAAGAATGTGTGTAATTACATGATGCTGAATTTAACCTTATTCTTCCAAAAACTTCAAGAAGGGAATGTTTCAGGAAATTATGCCTTAATTTACAGTGGAAATCTATAGTGATTTTGTTTAGCAAGTTATCAACATATTGTCTTGCTTTTGCATATCAAATTTTATATTGACAAGACATTGTATACTAAAGTTTGAAGTGTTATATACAAAAATTGTATGTTTTTCATATATCTGTAATACTTATGCCATATATAAGAAAGCAGTTTGTATGTAAGGTGTTAGTAGACCCTGCTGCTACTTTGAATGCTTATGGTGTATATTCTTTGATACTCATTTTAGTTCTTAGGCTCTATGCTTACATATTGGAAAGCCAGTAATTCTCCAAATGGAGGTGGAAAAATGGATGATGAGATAGTGAATTAAGGGAAACCCTCATATTCTTCCTGCTAATTTTCAATGACATTAAAGTATAATAAAGGGTTTTTATTGATAGGTGTATACTAGATATAAAGACCATAAGTTGGTGAGGGAAAAATAGCACCTTATATAATTCATACATGTGATATGAGATGAGTACAAGGTACTTTGGGAATTATAAGATTCAAATGTATTCTTTAACTTCAGAGTTCAGTATTGTGTGCTGTATCTATTTATTTGAAAGTTGTTATAAAGTTACTGTTAGGTTCACTAAGATTACTGGTAAGAGAATTTAAAAATAATATACATATATAAACTTTTTGAGACTAAATATAGGAGAGTTCTTTAGAAAAATCATGCATATAAGAAGTATTCACATTATTTTTTATTATATCACTCAGAATTAGACAAACTACCATAATGAAAATGGAATGACTTTCAAAGAAAGCAGTGTAAGGAAATACTTACTCTATACTTTTTGCTCAGGAGTCAAAGGATGAACAGTGGAAACGAGCTATGGATTATTTAAATGTTGTGAATGAACTCAACTACATGACTCAGATTGTTATAATGCTTTATGAGGATCCTAACAAGGTAACAGTTCTTGATTTACATTTGTTATCAGAAAGAAATAAATGCAAGTATGCTGCAAAAAATTTAAGGAAAAGTAGGATTTAAAAGTGATGGAATTTTCCATGAATTTTTTGGAGCCCCCTCAAAAGAGCTCAACATTCCTCATATAAAAAAATTTCTCTGTCATATTTTTTTAGGATCTTTCCTCAGAGGAACGCTTTCATGTTGAATTGCACTTTAGTCCAGGAGCCAAAGGATGTGAGGAAGATAAAAATTTACCATCTGGCTATGGATATAGACCTGCTTCCAGAGAGGTAATAAAGATGTACCTTTCAATGCTTGGGTATTATAATTTTATGGTTTCATGAGGGTTTTTATAAGAGTTTTCTCTTATGTGCTGGAATTCTTACCTCAACTACTGAAAAGCAACATGGTTTAAGGATATATAGCATATATTAGAAGGCTTATGAAGTATTTAGTATGTTTGGATTTTAATGACACTAAGTAGCTATAGTTTTTTGTTGTTGTTATACTTGAGGAGTATTATGCGGTAAACATTGTGCTTACCACTTGGCATGAATTGTTGCATTTTAATCCTTATATTAAGCTTATGGGTTTAGATTTATACTCATTGACAATTTTTTAATAAATTATAACACTTACTACTAAAAGTCAGAAGTATATAACTTAATGAAATACCAGCAAATGAGCATAATTTTTCAACAACTGGCCAAATCACGTATACAATATTATTATCATCCTCTCCAAACCAAACTCACTACTATCGAGTCATTGCTGGCTCTTGGCGACCCCTTGTGGTTTTCTGAGACTGTACGTGTTTACAGGATTAGAATGCCCAGCCTTTCTTCTGTAGAGCTGCTGGTGGTTAACATGTAACCACTGCACCACCAGAACTCCTTAATCATCATCCTAGCAACCTCAATTGTGCCCAAATTTTATTTATCACCTCTATATGTTCTTCTCAAATATTCTTACTTGCATGACTTTTAAAAATGAATTTTGCCTATGATCTTTTTAAATGAAATTATAAAATATACTGTATGCTTTTTTATTTTTTAGGGGAAGTGTGAGAAGTGTGTTTGTTTCTTTCATTTACTATGTTTATAATATCCATCCCTACTCAGTTTGTTGGACTGTGATGGCTTGCATGTTGCTGTGATGTGTAAGCTATGCCACTAGTATTCTAAATAACAACAGGTGCATCTATGGATGGCAGGTTTCAGTGGAGCTTGCAGACTATGACAGAGTAGGAAGGAAGACCTGGTGATCTACTTCTGAAAACTTGTGAATAGTAGTACAGTATTATCTAATATAGTTCTGGAAGATAAACCCCTCTTGTTGGAAGGTACATAAAATATAACTGAAGGGGTTGCCTTTTCAAAGTAGAGATAATATTCATTTGCTACTTAGGCATGGCTTAATAAGAAGAAACAATAGTAATCATCCATTAATCTAAGTATGACTCTAGGGAGACTGGAAGTTGTCAAATGAAATGGAATGCATAAAGATCAATATCCTATACATCTGTGAACTGAAATGCACTGGTATTGGCTTTTATAAATCAGATAGCTTTATAGTCTATGCTGGGAATGATAAGTTGTACAACAGTGGTATTGCATTTGTTGTTCTAAAGAACATTTTAATATATATCTTGAAGTACAGTACTACCAGTCTTAGAATAATATCCATATGCCAAATGGAAGAGCAGTTAAACATGACTCATCAAATTTACCCACCAACTACTAATACTGAAGTTGAAAAAATAGAATATTTTTACCAACTTCTTCAGCCTGGAATTGATCAAACATGCAACCAAGGTGCATTGATTAGAATGTGAAACTTGGAAGCAAAGAAGGGTCAGAAGTTGGAAAATATGGCCTTGGTACTGGAAACAACACTAGAGATGCATGATAGGATTTTGGAAGCTCAATAACTTATTTATTGCAACTACCCCTTTTTCAACAACATAAACAGCCAATCTACACATGGACCTTGTGAGATGGAATACATAGGAATCAAATTGACTACCTATATGGAAAGAAACAATACAGAGGCACAGGATAAGGCCGGGCCCTGACTGGAACAGACCACCAATTGCCCCTATGCAAGTTAAAGAAAAATAAAATAAACAACAAGACCTAAAATAGGACCTTGTGTCTACCCTACCTAAATTCCGAGACTACTTCAAGAATAGGATTAACACTGATGTTAATAGAATGAACACTAATGACTGAAGACCAGATGAGTTGTGGGATAACCTCTTACATGAAGCACATGAACGTCATTTAGAAGTAAAGGAGAGAAAGAAAATACCAAAATGGATATAAAAAGAAACTGAATCTTGCGCTAGAACATTGAGAAACTAAAGTGTTGACATAGAAGAACAAATAGAGTATTTCGAAGGGCAATGTGAGAACTCAAAGTATTCTCATGAATTTGAAAAAGCAGAGAGAATTAGAAAATAAAAAGAAAGAGTACACTCAGCATTTCTCAAGCTGAAAGACTAAAATAAAAAGGTTACGCCTTTGAATTGCAGTTGAAAGGCTCTGTTGGCAAAATCTTGAATGATGCAGGAAGCATAAAAAAGAATGCAGAATCACTGTATTAAAAATAATTGGTCGAAGTTGCACCATTTCAAAAGGTATCATATCATCAAGAACCAATGATATTACAGTAAGAAATCAGAGCTTCACTAGGGGTTAGCCAAAAATAAGTACCCAAAGAATTGACAAAATATCAATTATAATATTTGAACAAATGGATGCAGCAATGGAAGGTGCTAACCTGTGACAAGGAATTTGGAAAACAGTGACCTAGTTGTGTGGTACCAGTCTCCACAATCGAACTGGTTCAAGGGGCAGTTGTGTAATTGTGGGGTAAATTTAAAGAGACATCAGACAAGATGAAGCATGCAAGTGCTCACCTCAGGGACCATCATGACTTCAGGAGCCAGGTCCACACAGAGAAAGAGAATATATTTCCAACCAAGGCTTATATATACTCTAAGGAAATGACCCTAATTACAGGTAACCACACATGTGGCAGGAAGGGATTGTACAGTAGGCATACACATGACAGGAAGGCATACACGTAACAAGATAGGCAGGCTCTAGAGTCAAGATGGCAGCCTAACCTTGATGGTCTCTAGAGTTTGCTTGAACTTAGGTGTCTTTGGGCTCTCCTTCATGGGAACAATCCATTATCCTTATCAGAAGGGAGTGGACCCTACTTAGGTTGTGACAGAGCTTAGGGCCTGATTGCCTTAGATGACTGACAATCTTCAGGCAGATAACCTTTAAACAGTTGACCTCCAAGTGCATAGTCAGTGACCATGTGTTTGCAAACAGCACCTTAGATTTGGCATTATTATGGGGGGACAACCTGGGAAGTAACTTTTCTGTTTCCCACACTTAGTCAACTGGAAGATATCATAATTCATACTTATTCCAGAGTAAGGTAATCCAAAAGAATATGGAAATTATCAAGCAATATCACTGATATCAAATGCAATTAAAATGTTACTGGAGATATTTCAAAAGTCCCAGAAATCAAGCTGGACTCAGAAGAGGATGGGATGTCACTACTTGATACAGATAGACTTTTGCGAAAAACAAAGAATACCAGAAAGTTGTTTTGCCATGCATAATTGACTATGCAATGGTATTCAAACTTGTGGATCATAGTAAGTTATCAGTAGCATTTTGGAGATAGATGTGATAGTTAGGTTTATGGTGCCAACTTGGCCAATAGGAACATGTGAGTCAAGATTAATCAGGTCACAGTTTGATTGGAGTGCAAAGAGATAAATAGCTCTGCAAGGCTGGCCTGCCTCTCTCTTGCTCTCTGGCGATTAGCTAGTTCTCTGCCTCAATGGTGTTGCTGCTTTAGCTAGTTCTATGCCTCTACCTTTGTGCTACACTACCTGTGGGCCAAGCCAACCCATGGATCTGGTCACTAGAGCTTGAGGCTCCTTCCATACCAGCTTCGCCACACTCCTGGTGCATACATTGCTTGAGGCTGGTGGATCATTCCACCTTGCATTGCTTGAGTTTGATACCCCATGGATCCTGCGTCTTTAAGCTCCCTTGCTACTGACTGTTGCTGCCTTACCCTGCTGTCTGCAGCCTGTAGGCAGACTCTGCCTATTCAGCCTGAGAGAAGACTCCACTGTCTGCTTCCTGACCTTGGACCAAAGCCCCCTCCGTGAGTTTAAGGATTTTTATTCAGTATATTAACTGTTCCACAAAAGTGAGTTCAACTGAGCCCTGTGTACTGCTGTGTGGACTAATTTTCTGTTATATTCCTTCTAGCTGTATAAGCCTTTCCTTTTACATATATATAATCATGTTTCCTGATTTGTTTCTCTAGAGAACCCTGCCTAACACAGCAGGGAATTCAAGAACACTTACCATATCTATTTGAATGTAAGCCAACCTGAATATCAGCTGAGGCACCTAATTTTACCACAAAAACTGCATTAAAAAATGTGCTGGAAAACTCGGCTTATCCACAAGTATATACAGTAATTGTTCAAATAGAGCAAGGTGATACTGGATGGTTTAAAATCAAGAAAAGTGTGCATCAGAGTTATATGCTTTTAGTAGAACACTCTCTAGAATCAAGAATAGCAAGACTTCATCTCACATATTCTGGTCATCTTATCTGAAGGGACCAGTCCTTGATAAGGATATCATGTGTGATTGAATTAGAGGGTCAGTAAAAAAAGAAAAAAAAAACTAAAAAAAGATGGATTGATACAATGGCTGCAACAGTGAACTCAAATTTAGACACAATCGTAAAGATGGCACAGCACTGGGTGGTGCTTGTTTTACCGTGCATAAGGTCAGAATCCACTTGATGCAACTAGCAGCAAGATCCAGCCATTCTCTCTCATTTCCTATTACCATGTAGGATAGCATTAAATAAACATGACACATTGTTTTTTCAGTTTACATCATTTTATGGTAAGTCTCCCTTTATCTCTAGTAATGCTTTTAAAAAAAAATCTTTTATTTTGTTTTCAGGGAAAGTGTATGCTATAGGTTGAGTTCCTGTTATAGCAGAAATATTGTTCAGAGACAATGGCTACAATATTTTTAACATTCTCATTAGTTCTCCTGTATTTTTTTTATCCTCTTATCTGTGCATCTTTATTTTAAGGAATTGTTGACCATTTGGTTTCATTGGAGCACTGGTGGCATAGTGGTTACGTGCTTAGCTCCTAACCAAAAATTCAGTGGTTCCAACCTACTAGCCATTCTGGAGGAAAAAATGTGACAATCTCCTTCCAAAA